CTCGTCACCTCGTCTCATCGTCACCTCTTCACTCCATCACCTCGTCACCTCGTCTCATCGTCACCTCGTCACTCCATCACCTCGTCACCTCGTCTCATCGTCACCTCGTCACTCCATCACCTCGTCACCTCGTCTCATCGTCACCTCTACACTCCATCACCTCGTCGCCTCGTCTCATCGTCACCTCGTCACTCCATCACCTCGTCACCTCGTCTCATCGTCACCTCTTCACTCCATCACCTCGTCACCTCGTCTCATCGTCACCTCGTCACTCCATCACCTCGTCACCTCAGCAACCCGTCACCCTGTCACCTCGTCTCATCGTCACCTCGTCACTCCATCACCTCGTCACCTCAGCAACCCGTCACCTCGTCTCATCGTCACCTCTTCACTCCATCACCTCGTCACCTCAGCAACCCGTCACCCTGTCACCTCGTCTCATCGTCACCTCGTCACTCCATCACCTCGTCACCTCAGCAACCCGTCACCTCGTCTCATCGTCACCTCGTCACTCCATCACCTCGTCACCTCGTCTCATCGTCACCTCGTCACTCAATCACCTCGTCACCTCAACAACCCGTCACTGTCACCTCATCTCATCGTCACCTCGTCACTCCATCACCTCGTCACCTCAGCAACCCGTCACTGTCACCTCATCTCATCGTCACCTCGTCACTCCATCACCTCGTCACCTCGTCTCATCGTCACCTCGTCACTCCATCACCTCGTCACCTCAGCAACCCGTCACCTCGTCTCATCGTCACCTCGTCACTCCATCACCTCGTCACCTCAGCAACCCGTCACCTCGTCTCATCGTCACCTCTTCACTCCATCACCTCGTCACCTCAGCAACCCGTCACCCTGTCACCTCGTCTCATCGTCACCTCGCCACTCCATAACCTCGTCACTCCATCACCTCGTCACCTCGTCTCATCGTCACCTCGTCACTCAATCACCTCGTCACCTCAACAACCCGTCACTGTCACCTCATCTCATCGTCACCTCGTCACTCCATCACCTCGTCACCTCAGCAACCCGTCACTGTCACCTCATCTCATCGTCACCTCGTCACTCCATCACCTCGTCACCTCGTCACTCCATCACCTCGTCACCTCAGCAACCCGTCACCTCGTCTCATCGTCACCTCGTCACTCCATCACCTCGTCGCCTCGTCTCATCGTCACCTCTTCACTCCATCACCTCGTCACCTCGTCTCATCGTCACCTCGTCACTCCATCACCTCGTCACCTCAGCAACCCGTCACCTCGTCTCATCGTCACCTCGTCACTCCATCACCTCGTCACCTCGTCTCATCGTCACCTCGTCACTCCATCACCTCGTCACCTCGTCTCATCGTCACCTCGTCACTACATCACCTCGTCGCCTCGTCTCATCGTCACCTCTTCACTCCATCACCTCGTCACCTCAGCAACCCGTCCCCCTGTCACCTCGTCTCATCGTCACCTCGTCACTCCTTCACCTCGTCACCTCGTCTCATCGTCACCTCGTCACTCCATCACCTCGTCACCTCGTCTCATTGTCACCTCGTCACTCCATCACCTCGTCACCTCAGCAACCCGTCCCCCTGTCACCTCGTCTCATCGTCACCTCGTCACTCCTTCACCTCGTCACCTCGTCTCATCGTCACCTCGTCACTCCATCACCTCGTCACCTCGTCTCATTGTCACCTCGTCACTCCATCACCTCGTCACCTCAGCAACCCGTCCCCCTGTCACCTCGTCTCATCGTCACCTCGTCACTCCTTCACCTCGTCACCTCGTCTCATCGTCACCTCGTCACTCCATCACCTCGTCACCTCGTTACCTCGTCTCATCGTCACCTCGTCACTCCATCACCTCGTCACCTCAGCAACCCGTCCCCCTGTCACCTCGTCTCATCGTCACCTCGTCACTCCTTCACCTCGTCACCTCGTCTCATCGTCACCTCGTCACTCCATCACCTCGTCACCTCGTTACCTCGTCTCATCGTCACCTCGTCACTCCATCACCTCGTCACCTCAGCAACCCGTCACCCTGTCACATCGTCTCATCGCCATCTCGGCTCCACGTGTTCGCGTCGTCTCATAATGCTCGTCTCGTTGACTCGTCACCTCGTTGAGCGCTGCGTCACCTCGTCCCTGGTCGGACTGGATGCGTGGAATCGCGTTGCCCTCTGTGCCTCTGCAGTGTGCGGTTCCTGCTGTGTGTGTAGTTTCGCGGCTGTGATGCTGTCTGTCTGTCTGTGGAGTGGGGAGCGGTGGTGTAGCGGTTATTAATTGAACCGGTACTGGGCATCCCCTAGGTCGACTCAGCCTTAAATGAGTACCGGGTGCGGTGTGTAAACATCGCTACTGGGGAGACAAAGGCGGTCGGGCATGGTGCTGGCCACCCACCCCCTGGTGTACCGTTCTGGCCATCATAGGTGCTCGCTAACAACACTTGCCCCAGCAGTCTGTTTCGACTATACTTGGAAGCGTTACCCTTGTTTTTGTTGTTGTGATGCTATCTCTGTAGTTGTTGTGGTTGTATCTGTGTTGTTGTTGAGATTTGACCGCTGCGTGGTTATGGATGTGTGTGGAGTGTTTAATTTACGCGAATGTGCCTCTGCGTTCCTCGCTGGGTCCACGGCCGTCGCGCTGTCCGAGTGAGTGCGAGCGACGCTCACAACAACGAGCGGAGCGCCGGGCGGGTAAAACGCAGCGAGGTTGCACAGTAGGGAGCGCAGGTGGCGCATCTGTCAGTCACCCCGGTCAGTCAACCCATGGCACCTGGGTCTGCCCCGTGACCTCCTGCACCGAGCATGGCACAGCAGTCAACCAAGAACACGTGGCTCTGTCCCGTAACCTCTGAGCTCTACCTGGAGCGCGCTTTCCTCGCTTCACGCGGCCTCAAGGTGAACATCGCCTGGCACACGCCCCCTGATCGACGACGCGCGCGATGAGCGTCTTTGTTTGATGAACACAAAATAAGATCACGTCAATCACGAGGCCCATTGGTGGATGTTGATCCGCCGCTTTGAGATTGCGCTCGCGCGTGATGGAGTGGTGGAGTTGTGGAGTGGTGGAGTTGTGGAGTGGTGGAGTGGTGGAGTGGTGGAGTTGTGGAGTGGTGGAGTGGACATCGCGGGGAGGGGGGCGAGAGAGCAATGGGGAGACAAAGGCGGTCGGGCGTGGCGTCGGCCACCCCTCCCGCTCTTGTGCAGTGCGAGCCTTTACAGGTGCTCGCCAACGGCACTTTCCCCAACAGCCTGTGCAGGCTACACGGGGGACCTTTGTCTTTGGTTGCATCCACACAGCACGGGGCCCGCGCCGCTCGTCGTCGTCCCCCCCCCCCCCCCCCCCCCCGCTATCCGCAGCCCCTCCACGCCGCGTGGTCACTTCTTCACGAGGCCGAGATCGCGTCATCACCATCGTCATCAACGTCGTCAACATCATCATCGTCATCATCAACGTCATTAACATCATCATCCTCATCATCAAAATCATCAACATCATCGTCATTAACATCATCAACATCATCGTCATCAATATCAACATCATCGTCATAAACATCATCATAAACATCATCGTCATTAACATCATCAAAATCATCAACATCATCGTCATCATCAACGTCATCAAAATCATCGTCATCCTCATCACCAACATCATCAACATCCTCGTCATCAACGCGCCGCGGTCAAGAAATTGCCTCGATACAGTGCGAGACGAGGCATTGCATCACATTAAATAATAATATTATTATTACCACTCTTACAAACACAAATAGAAATTACAAAATAATAATTGACGACGCGTTTTTAAACGTCCTTGGCATTATCGCTGCTCCTACTCCGACACAAAGATCACCCGTGTAGCCTTAACAGGCTGTGGGGGCAAGTGCTGCTAGCGAGCACCTGTGAATGCCGGCACGGCGCCCGAGAGGATGGGTGGCCAGCACCGCGCCCGGCCGCCTTTGTCTCCCCAGTGGCGATGTCCACACACCGCACCAGGTACCCGTTTAAAGAACCAGAACCCGGGGGATAATCGTCACCGGTGGGAATCGAACTCAAGTCGCCGGGTTCGTAGTGCAACGCGCTAACGGCACCACCACCGCTCCCCCCTCCCCCAGGCTGGGCAATTAGTGCCGATTGGTGGGGAGCAACAACCCCTCCCCTACCCACCTCTCCTACCTTCTCTCCACCGCTGCTCTTAGGGGGGGTCACCCCCCCCCTCTCCTCCTTATTGTTGCCCCCCCCTCTCCCGCCCCCACGCGCACGTGAGCAGCGTGGGAGGTCCACGCGCGTCACGGGGCTCGCTGCGCGCTGCGCTGAGTGGAGAGTCGCGAGCGGAGAGTCGCGGGCGCCAGACGCCACCCCGTGCCGGTACGGAGAGCGGCCCTCGCCATCCACATCCATCATCATCCACATCGTCCACATCGTCCACATCGTCGTTCTCATCGGCATTATCGTCGTCCAAAACATCATCGATACCAACAGCGTTGTCGTCGTCGTCATCATCATCGTCGTCGTCGTCGTAATTATCATAAATCACATTAAAGTAATCACTACCTTGTTCATTGTCACTCACATCATCAATCTCATCATCAACATAACTCACATCATCAATCTCATCATCAACACAACTCACATCATCAATCTCATCATCAACACAACTCACATCATCAATCTCATCATCAACACAACTCACATCATCAATCTCATCATCAACACAACTCATATCATCAATCTCATCATCAACACAACTCACATCATCAATCTCATCATCAACACAACTCACATCATCAATCTCATCATCAACACAACTCACATCATCAATCTCATCATCAACACAACTCATATCATCAATCTCATCATCAACACAACTCACATCATCAATCTCATCATCAACACAACTCACATCATCAATCTCAGCAACACAACTCACATCATCAATCTCATCATCAACACAACTCACATCATCAATCTCATCATCAACACAACTCACATCATCAATATCATCATCAACACAACTCACATCATCAATCTCATCATCAACACCACTCACATCATCAATCTCATCGTCAGCGTCTTCGCAATCGACGTCGTCATCATCGTCATCATTGTTACCAGTTCCACCACCTCCTCTCCTGGCGTGACGGGCGCCGGTGCGAAGCAAGAGTCGCGTGGAGCACTCGGCACCTCATCACCCCCATTCGATCATCGTCACCTGTTCCACTCCCTCCCTAGCGAGGAGCACGAGGAGCTGGTAGTGCCGGCACGAGGAGCTGGTAGTGCCGGCACGAGGAGGGAGCGCAGCGTCTTGGATCATCGTTTCACCATCATCACCATCACTATCCTCCGCCTTGTCAACAACATCATCATCACCATCACTATCCTCCGCCTTGTCAACAACATCATCATCACCTGCCACTTCCTTCCCCCCGCTATCCTCCGGTGAGGTGTAGTGGTGAGGTGTAGTGGTGAGGTGTAGTGGTGAAGTGTAGTGGTGAGGTGTAGTGGTGAGGTGTAGTGGTGAGGTGTAGTGGTGAAGTGTAGTGGTGAGGTGTAGTGGTGAGGTGTAGTGGTGAAGTGTAGTGGTGAGGTGTAGTGGTGAGGTGTAGTGGTGAGTAGTGGTGTGTGGGCTGCTCCTCCTGCGCGTGTCTGGGCGGCTTCTCCAGGCTCCTTGCTCCTCTTCCGTATCCAGCACAGGTAAGCGAAGGGGGGGGGGGGGGGGGTGTAGCGGACAGGTGAACGGCGCTCACCTGTATGATGGCGATCTCACCTGTGTGATGGTGTGCTCACCTGTGTGATGTGTGCTCACCTGTGTGATGGTGAGCAAATTTGTGTGATGGTGTGCTCACCTGTGTGATGGTGAGCTCACCTGTATGATGATGACCTCGCCTGTATGATGGTGATCTCACCTGTATGATGGTGATCTCCGCTGTGTGATGGTGATCTCGCCTGTATGATGGTGATCTCACCTGTGTGATGGTGAGCTCACCTGTATGTATGATGAGCTCGCCTGTGTGATGGTGATCTCACCTGTATGATGATGACCTCGCCTGTATGATGGTGATCTCACCTGTGTGATGGTGATCTCGCCTGTATGATGGTGATCTCCCCTGTGTGATGGTGATCTCGCCTGTATGACGGTGATCTCGCCTGTATGATGGTGATCTCGCCTGTATGATGGTGATCTCACCTGTGTGATGGTGATCTCCCCTGTGTGATGGTGAACTCGCCTGTATGATGGTGATCTCCCCTGTGTGATGGTGATCTCGCCTGTATGATGGTGATCTCCGCTGTGTGATGGTGATCTCGCCTGTATGATGGTGATCTCGCCTGTATGATGGTGATCTCACCTGTGTGATGGTGAGCTCACCTGTATGTATGATGAGCTCGCCTGTGTGATGGTGATCTCACCTGTATGATGATGACCTCGCCTGTATGATGGTGATCTCACCTGTGTGATGGTGATCTCGCCTGTATGATGGTGATCTCCCCTGTGTGATGGTGATCTCGCCTGTATGACGGTGATCTCGCCTGTATGATGGTGATCTCGCCTGTATGATGGTGATCTCACCTGTGTGATGGTGATCTCCCCTGTGTGATGGTGAACTCGCCTGTATGATGGTGATCTCCCCTGTGTGATGGTGATCTCGCCTGTATGATGGTGATCTCGCCTGTATTATGGTGATCTCGCCTGTATGATGGTGATCTCACCTGTGTGATGGTGATCTCACCTGTATGATGGTGATCTCGCCTGTATGATGGTGATCTCACCTGTGTGATGGTGATCTCACCTGTGTGATGGTGATCTCGCCTGTATGATGGTGATCTCGCCTGTATGATGGTGATCTCGCCTGTATGATGGTGATCTCACCTGTGTGATGGTGATCTCACCTGTGTGATGGTGATCTCACCTGTGTGGAGCACACGAGCACGGACAGAGACCCGTTCCCTGCGCCGTGTGCGGGCGGCGTTGACTGAGACTCGGGTTTATGGCGATGGCTTTTTTTTATTATTAGCCTGGCTCAAGGGACCGGATATTATTGGACCGGCTTCACGGGACCGGTAGATGTGACGGTGAGCTCGCCTGTGTGATGGCGATGATGATCATGGCTCATGGTACCGCTATATGGGACCGGCTCATAGCACCGGTATATGGGAGCGGCTCATGGGACCAGGTCATGGGAGCGGCTCATGGGACCGGTATATGGGATCGGCTCATGGGACCGGTATATGGGACCAGCCCGGCTCGCGATGGCTCTGGCTGCACGCGAGCGGCTGGGAACGCCGTGGGGGGTGCGCGGGCAGTGGGCACCGCGGACCTGAGTTCGATTCCCGATCACGGCTAAACAGAAGTGGCGAGTGGGATCTGAACCGGTCCTCTGACCTATTTATTTGACGTTAACCCAGGCTGAAATGTGGCAGTATCCGCTGCGGTGAGTAAAATGTCAGCACTGGGGAAACAAAGACGGCTGGGCGTGGTGCTTGACAACCGTCTAGATGGGGGTTATTTGTCTTTGTGTGTCTACATATGTTTGTGTGTTTGTGTCTTTGTGTTACTGCTATACAAGTGTGTCTGTGTCTTTGTGTTACTGCTGTACAAGTGTGTGTGTCTTTGTGTTACTGTACAAGTGTGTGTGTGTCTTTGTGTTACTGCTGTACAAGTGTGTCTGTGTCTTTGTGTTACTGCTGTGCAAGTGTGTGTGTCTTTGTGTTACTGCTGTACAAGTGTGTCTGTGTCTTTGTGTTACTGCTGTGCAAGTGTGTGTGTGTCTTTGTGTTACTGCTGTACAAGTGTGTGTGTGTCTTTGTGTTACTGTACAAGTGTCTTTGTGTTATTGCTGTACAAGTGTATTTGTGTCTTTGTGTTACTGCTGTACAAGTGTGTGTGTGTCTTTGTGTTATTGCTGTACAAGTGTGTGTGTCTTTGTGTTACTGTACAAGTGTATTTGTGTCTTTGTGTTATTGCTGTACAAGTGTATTTGTGTCTTTGTGTTACTGCTGTACAAGTGTGTGTGTGTCTTTATGTTACTGCTGTACAAGTGTTTGTGTCTTTGTGTAACTGCTGTACAAGTGTTTGTGTCTTTGTGTTACTGCTGTACAAGTGTGTTTGTGTCTTTGTGCTACTGCTGTACAAGTGTGTGTGTCTTTGTGTTACTGCTATACAAGTGTGTGTGTCTTTGTGTTACTGCTGTACAAGTGTGTTGTGTCTTTGTGTTACTGCTGTATAAGTGTGTCTGTGTCTTTGTGCTACTGCTGTACAAGTGTGTGTGTGTCTTTGTGTTACTGCTGTACAAGTGTGTCTGTGTCTTTGTGCTACTGCTGTACAAGTGTGTTTGTGTCTTTGTGTTACTGCTGAACCGGTCCTGGGCCTCCCCTAGGTCGACTCAGCCTCACGTTAGGACCTGGTGCGGTGTGTAGTAAACATCGCCACTGGGAAGACAAAGGCGTCTGGGCGTGGTGCTGGCCATCCACTCCCTCGTGTGCCGTGCCGGCCTTCATCGGTGCTCGCTAACAGCACTTGCCCCAACAGGCTGTTAAAGGCTACACGGGGGATCTTTGTCTTTGTATATGTCGTGCTGCGTTACGAACCAGACTACCTAGATTCGATACCAAACCTCTGCCGGGATTCCCCTAGGTCGACTCGGCGTTAAATGACGACACATCAGGGAGACGAAGAGGGTCACGTGGTGCGCCGGTGTCGGCCTTTGTATTTGCTCACTCACAGCCCTTGCCCCAACATTCTGTCTGCCCGTACGGGGTAGCTTTGCCTGTGTTCGTGCGTGGGAAGCCGGAATGCGCTCCGAACGTTGCGACAACAGATTCAGTCGCGCTCACGGCATTCACGAACGTTTGAATCGGCCACGTGTCTCGGTCGACTCGGCCTCAGTGTGGTGCCCTGTGTGTGTGTGGACAAGCCGTCTCGTGCGCCGTGCCGCCCTTCAAAGGTGCTACTGCTGCTGCTACTAGCGAGACTTTGTCTTGTTGATGGCAGTGACCACGATCACTGCCACCATGAGATGCCGACTGTGGTGGTTGCTGATGAGAGTGTTTATTTGGTGGTGTTCATCGTGGTGATGATGATGATGATTGTGATCACACCACCACCATCCACCGAGATGATGATGATGATTGTGATCACACCACCACCATCCACCGACATTATGATGATGCTTGTGATCACACCACCACCATCCACCGTGATGATGATTGTGATCACACCACCACCATCCACCGTGATGATGATGATTGTGATCACACCACCACCATCCACCGACATGATGATGATTGTGATTACACCACCACCATCCACCGTGATGATGATTGTGATCACACCACCACCATCCACCAAGATGATGATGGTGATGATTGTGATCACACCACCACCTCCACAGGTGTTCGCTGAGCGCACTTGGCCCGACAGCCTGCCGCGTCTACCCGCGAGATCTGTGTCTTTGTTGGGCGAGCCACACACAACTCACGCACACACAAATACAACACTCACACACAACACACACACAACAACACACACAACACTCACACACAACACACACACACAACACACACACACAACACTCACACAACACTCACACACAAAACTCAAACAACACACACAACACTCACACACAACATTCACACAACACTCACACAACACACAACACTCACATAAACAACACTCACACACAACACACAACACTCACACACAACACTCACACACAAGAACAACACTCACACAATACTCACACACAACACTCACACATAACACACAACACTCACACACAACACTCACACACAACACTGACACAACACTCACACACAACACTCACACATAACAACACTCACACAACACACACATACAACACCCACACACAACACTCACACAACACTCACACACAACACCCACACAACACAACATTCACACAACACACACACAACACTCACACACAACACTCACACAACACACAACACTCACACAACACACAACACTCACACAACACCCACAACACCCACACACACACAACATTAGCACACACAACATTAGCACACACAACACTCACACACAACAACACTCACAACACACACACAACACTCACACACAATACACACACAACACACACACAACAACACACACACAACTCACACACAATACTCACTCACACACACAACACTAGCACACACAACACTAACACACAACAACACTTACACAACACACACAACCCACGCACACACAACACTCACACACAACACTCACACACAACAACACACACACAACTCACGCACAACACTCACACAACACACAACACTCACACACACAACACTAGCACACACAATACTAACACACAACAACACTTACACAACACACACAACCCACTCACACACAACACTCACACACAACACTCACACAACACTCACAACACTCTCACACACACAACACTCACACAACACTCACACAACACTCACACACAAGAACAACACTCACACACAAGAACAACACTCACACAACACTCACACACACAACACTCACACACAACACTCACACACACACAACACTCACACACAACACTCACACAACACTCACACAACACTCACACACACAACACTCACACACAAGAACAACACTCACACAACACTCACACACACAACACTCACACACACACAACACTCACACACACAACACTCACACACACAGCACTCACACACACAACACTAGCACACACAACACTAACACACAACAACACTTACACAACACACACAACCCACGCACACACAACACTCACACACAACACTCACACACAACAACACACACACAACTCACACACAACACTCACACAATACACAACACTCACACACACAACACTAGCACACACAATACTAACACACAACAACACTTACACAACACACACAACCCACTCACACACAACACTCACACACAACACTCACACAACACTCACAACACTCTCACACAACACTCACACACAACACTCACACACACACACAACACTCACACACAACACTCACAATACTCACACACACACAACACTCACACACAACACTCACACACACAACACTCACACACACAACACTCACACACACAACACTCACACAACACTCACACAATACTCACACACACAACACTCACACACAAGAACAACACTCACACAACACTCACACACACAACACTCACACACAACACTCACACACACAACACTCACACACACAACACTCACACACAACACTCACACACACAACACTCACACACACAACACTCACACACACAACACTCACACACAACACTCACACACAACACAGACAACACTCACACAGACAACACTCACACACACAACACTCACACAACACTCACACACACAACACTCACACACACAACACTCACACACAACACATACACAACACCCACACACACACACAACACTCACACAACACACACACACACCACTCACATACACACAACACTCACACGCAACACACACAACACCCACACACACAACACTAGCACACACAACACTCACACACAACACTCACACAACACACACATAACAACACATACACACAACTCACGCACACACAACACTCACACGCAACAACAACACTCACACAACAACACACACACCACTCACACACAACAACAACACTCACACAACACACACAACAACACACACAACACTCACACACAACAACAACACTCACACACACAACACTCACGCACACAACACTCACACAACAACAACACTCACACACCCACCACATTCACACACAACACACACAACAACACACGCGTGTGTGTACAGCACGCAGCGCTAGAATTGATGCGCCCTCTGCAATGGAATTCGCATCATTGCCCCCCCCTCTGTGTCATCCGGGTCATTAACGCAACAACAGCCCCCCCCCTCCACCAAAAAATAAAAGTGGTTTTCGCACCAATTACGACTGAGCTGACACGAGCTGGCGGATAGCCGAGCGCTCCCCTAATTAATATCGCTCCCGCTACGGGCACGGTGTGTCACATGCTCGCTACCGCTGCTGCTGCTGCTGATGTTGGTGGTGGTGTTAATCATGAGCGGATATCCGCGGTGGTGGGGGGGGTTTGAGCCTTTTGCCTCCGCTAAGAGATCCCCGCAATGAAGCGTTAATGAGAAGCGCGTAAACAGCCGCGCTCGTAGAGACCGCCTTGCATCGCCTTGCATCGATCGTGCCGGGGAGAGGGAGGGGAGCCGTCTCCGTCAGTAGAGTCGCTCCCCCCCCCCACCAACCCACCCACCAACTCCCCCCCACCAACCCACCCACCAACTCCCCCCACCAACCCACCCACCAACTCCCCCCACCAACCCACCCACCAACTCCCCCCCACCAACCCACCCACCAACTTCCCTCCCACCCACCAACTCCTCCCACCAACCCACCCACCAACTCCCCCCACCAACCCACCAACCAACCCACCCACCAACCCCCCCCCACCAACCCACCCACCAACTCCCCCCACCAACTCCCCCCACCAACCCACCCACCAACTCCTCCCACCAACCCACCCACCAACTCCCCCACCAACCCACCCACCAACCCACCCACCAACCCCGCCCCACCAACCCACCCACCAACTCCCCCCACCAACTCCCCCCACCAACCCACCCACCAACTCCCCCCACCAACCCACCCACCAACTCCTCCCACCAACCCACCCACCAACTCCCCCCACCAACCCACCCACCAACTCCCCCCACCAACTCCCCCCACCAACCCACCCACCAACTCCCCCCACCAACCCACCCACCAACTCCCCCCACCAACTCCCCCCACCAACCCACCCACCAACTCCCCCCACCAACCTACTTACCAACTCCCCCCACCAACCCACCCACCAACTCCCCTCACCAACCCACCCACCAACTCCCCCCACCAACCCACCCACCAACCCCCCCCCCACCAACCCACCCACCAACTCCCCCCCACCAACTCCCCCCACCAACCCACCTACCAACCCACCCACCAACTCCCCCCACCAACCCACCCACCAACTCCCCCCACCAACCCACCCACCAACTTCTCCCACCAACCCACCCACCAACTCCCCCCACCAACCCACCCACCAACTCCCCCCACCAACCCACCCACCAACTCCCCCCACCAACCCTTCGTGCGCCTTGATAGGTACTCGCGAGCGGCGCTTAGCTCCGACAGTCCATCTAAAAAATACACGGGAGATGCCTTTAGTGTGCCAGGGTGTGTGTGTGTGTTTGTGTGTGATGTGTGTGCGTGTGGGGAGGGGTATTAGTGAGACAAAGGCGGCCGGGAGTGGTCACGGTCACCCTACCCAGCTGTGCCCAGTGCCGACGTTAATAGGTGCTCACTAACAGCCTTGCGCTGCCATGGTCTATGCAGGCTACACGGGGATGTTTTTTGTCTTTGTACGGCGAGTGGCTGTGATGGTTAGGCGTGAATGGAATTTGTGTGTCAGTGTGTGTGTGTATATTTGTGTACGGGCTGTGTATGTGTATACAGGCTGTGTGTATACGGGCTGTGTGTGTGTGTGTATATACGGGCTGTGTGTGTACGGGCTGTGTCTGCGTGTGTCTGTGTGTATACACGCCGTGAATGTGTGTATGCTGTGTGTACACGAGGTGTGTGTCTGGTACGTGCCGTATACATTGTGTGTATATTGTGTGTGTGTATATTGTGTGTGTATATTGTGTGTGTGTTGGGTGTGTACACGAGGTGTCTGTGTGTTCAGCGTGGATGTTTTTCGATGCAAGACGCTATATAAATTCAAATCGTATTGTGTTGTCATTTTTGCATTGGATGTGTATGGATGTGTTTGTGTGTGTGCGCGTCTGTTCGCTCTGCGTGTCTATGCTACGGGGAGCGGTGGTGCAGTGGTTAGCGCACTGCGCTACGAACCCGGCGACCCAAGTTCGTTTCTCGCTCACGACCAAGAATAGTGACAGTGAATATATGAACCAGTTCTAGGGTCCCGTAGATCGACTCAGCCTTAAAAATGAGTCCCTACTGCGCTGTGTAAACATCCCCACTGGGAAGACAAAGGCGGCCGGGCGTGGTGTTGGCCGCCCACCCCCTCGTACGCCGAAGACTACAAGTGGGATCTTAATCTGTCTGTATTGGTGTGTATAGTGTATCGTGTGTGTGTGTAGTGTAGCGTGTGTGTGTGTAGTTTATTGTGTGTATAGTGTATCGTGTGTATGTGTAGTGTATCGTGTGTGTGTATAGTGTATCGTCTGTGTATAGTGTATCGTGTGTGTGTGTGTATCGTGTGTGTATAGTGTATCGTGTATGTGAAGTGTATCGTGTGTGTGTGTGTATCGTGTGTATAATGTATCGTGTGTGTGTGTATCGTGTGTGTGTAGTGTATCGTGTGTGTGTGTGTGTGTATCGTGTGTGTATAATGTATCGTGTGTGTGTTTGTGTATCGTGTGTGTAGTGTATCGTGTGTGTGTGTGGTGTATTGTGTGTGTATAGTGTATCGTGTGTGTGTAGTGTAGCGTGTGTAGTGTATCGTATGTGTGTGTGGTGTATCGTGTATGTGTATAGTGTGTCGTGTGTGTGTGTGGTGTATCGTGTGTGTATAGTGTATCGTGTGTGTGTGTTAGGTGTGTGCTTATGTGCATGTATTTGTTGCTGTGTATGTTATCACCCGTGTTACATTTATGCTCATGAACCTCACCTGGACCTCCTCTAGGTCGACTCAGCCACAAATAGGCATCTACAGCGTTCCGTGGACACAAGTTGTCAATCGGCCAGGGCGTAGTGACCAGCCCCCTCTCTCTCGTGCGCCATTTACCCAAAAATAGGTGCTCGCTAACAGCACCCTCGCCCACGCCGTCTGGGATGACCCAGACGGCGTGGGGGAATGCAACCGATTCTCGTGCATCCCTACTGCGGATTATTTGTAACCAGCAGCCCGGACGTCCCTTGGACGTGACCGACCATCACTCCCTCCAGCCAACCAGGAAGCCAGCCAGCCAGCCAGCAAAACTTGTTTCTAATATAGTATGATGTTTTACGTGGTTTTACTCTTCATCGAAGTTCCGCGGATTTCCAGGTACCCCCCTCGCCCCCCGCTGGAGGCTGGGCAAGCGGCGCCCAGCACCAGCAGCATGAGCCAGGAGAGCGGAACCCCGACGACGCCGCCGCCGCCGCCCCCGGGAGAGGCCCCGGCGGCACCGCTCCCCGCCGCCGGGCCCGGGGCCGGAGCCGGGGCCGTGCCGCCCAGCCCGTGCCTCTCCAAGGTGGAGCTGCGGGTGTCGTGCCGCGCGCTGCTCGACCGGGACGCGCTCTCCAAGTCCGACCCGTGCGTCATGCTGCTCATGCAGTCGCGCGGCCAGTGGGTGGAGGTGCGTGCGCGCGGCGGTGGTGGTGGAGTTGGTGGTGGTGGTGGTGGGGTTGATGTGGTTGGGAGAGTGCCGGTGGTCGTGGTGGAGTTGGTGGTGGAGTTGGTGGTGGTGGTGGAGTTGGTGGTGGTGTGGTTGGAAGAGTGGCGATGGTGGTGGTGGGGGCCCTGTAGACTGTTGGGACAAGTGCAGACACAGCGCACCCAGACTTAATCTCAGCCACGACCCTGCCCCGCCGGTCAGCTTCAATGCCACCGGTCTATTCCATTCACCGAAGCTAAGCCGGTTTGAGCCTGGTTAGTCCGTCGATGTGTGACTGCTTTGTATTAACAGTCCTCAGTGCAAAACAGAACCACGTGGCCACCGTGCAGAATCCTCCCACCGCCCACGCGCACGGAGACCTGGCGAGGCTTTCCTGGATAAATGAATGAAATGATCGCAATTGTCGTGCTTGTGACTCTGAGCACGGATGGGGAGACGAGTACCGTCTTCATTTGGAACGCGGCGCTCGGTTTAATTTGCGTGATTAGAGTTTAAACGCGGCGTGAGTGCCGTGCGGCAACCGCGCGGGTGTGCGAGGCTGGCAGCCTCCTGCGTTAGCCACGGTGATGAGAATTTCGTCATCATCATCATCAGCCATGATCTATTCACTACCGGATGAAGGCCTCCCTGAGCCATATCGAATGTGTTTGTTTGTTTTTACCGGACTTCACCACGCTGGTCAGTGCGGGTTGGTAAACGGGGGGAGGGCAGGACCGGTTCTGGTCTCACTCGATGTCAACCGCGGCCGGGAATCGAACTCGGGATGCCTGGTTCAGAGCGCCGTTGCGCTTACCACTACACTGCCTCGCCACTCCCGTAACTTCCAAAGTCGACGTAATCATGATCCATGGCCTATCCACTGCTGGATGAAGGCCTCCTCCATCACGCTGCCATCTACCCGCGACGACGCGGGACGAGAGCCCGCGTCGCCCCTGCACGTGGCGCGAGCCGCCTGGAGGAGACGGCGGGGACGTGGGGAGCGCGGGGGACGTGGGGGGCGTGGGGGGCGTGGGGGCGTGGGGGGCGTGGGGGGCGGGGGGGGGCGTGGGGGGCGTGGGGGGCGTGGGGGGCGTGGGGGACGTGGGGGGCGTGGGGGGCGCTTTCCCCCGGGCAGCGGGGACGGCGTCGCGTCCGCGAGGTGTCCGTGAACGCGACGCGGCCCGGTTCGAGGCGGGCACTCTGCCTGCGGCGGCGCTCATCTCTGTTCGGCATTTCTGAGCATCTCGTGGAAATCACGCGTCAATATTCCGGGGCACACGATATTCCCCGGACACTTCCTTCCGAGTAATTCCACAACGCATCAGTGACAATCAAACTCCCTTCCGTGGCGAAGATAAGAGAGTAGTGTCCAGGCGGTACAACTGTGCCGGCACCCACGGGAGGGGGGGGGGGAGGGGGAGACGAGGGGGCCCCGAATGAATTCCTCGCCCCAGGGCCCAGGGCCGATCGGGCGACGCGGCAGCGCCACGCGTCGCGTCTCTGCAACAATCCGCGCGAGACGTTCCGAGCCACGCCGCTGGGAACGTCTCCGCACCTCGTGGCTGGGCGCGCCATCAGAGGGCGCGCGTCTCGTGCACGCGCACGCCGTGGAAGGAGCTGAGTCGCGCCCGTCTGCTGCTGATGATGATGGCGGTGTTTGGTGATGATGGCTGGTGATGGTGATGAGAGCGGTTTTGGTGATGGTCCTGTTCACCGCCATGTGTTCACATGGACCCTGTACAAAAATGTGCCTCGCGCCACTCACACGCGCCCACTGCATGCTCGCGTCTCCCCGTGTCTCCACGGAGTAAACCCCACCCCAACATCACGTGTCCCCGTGTCTCCACGGAGTACCCCCCCCCCCCCCATCACGTGTCCCCGTGTCTCCACGGAGTCCCCCCCCCCCCCATCACGTGTCCCCGTGTCTCCACGGAGTACCCCCCCCCCCATCACGTGTCCCCGTGTCTCCACGGAGTACCCCCCCCCCCATCACGTGTCCCCGTGTCTCCACGGAGTCCCCCCCCCCCATCACGTGTCCCCGTGTCTCCACGGAGTAAACCCCACCCCAACATCACGTGTCCCCGTGTCTCCACGGAGTACCCCCCCCCATCACGTGTCCCCGTGTCTCCACGGAGTACCCCCCCCCCCCCTCCCGTGTCCCCGTGTCTCCACGGAGTCCCCCCCCCATCACATGTCCCCGTGTCTCCACGGAGTACCCCCCCCCATCACATGTCCCCGTGTCTCCACGGAGTACCCCCCCCCCCATCACGTGTCCCCGTGTCTCCACGGCGTCTCCACCACCCACCCCCCCCCCCCCCCCGTGTGTCCCCGTATCCCCACGGCGTCCCCAGGTGGAGCGCACGGAGGTAATCAAGAGGAACCTGCACCCCGTCTTCTCCAAGGTCTTCACCATCGACTACTACTTCGAGGAGGTGCAAAAGCTTCGCTTCGAGGTGTTCGACATCAACAGCAGCAGCGTCCCCTGCGGGCCCCGCGAGGACGACTTCCTGGGGGCCGCGGAGTGCACCCTGGGGCAGGTGCGGCGCGCGCGCACAGAGACCAAGATAGAGACAAAGGTCCCCCGTTAGCCTGTACACGATGTGGGGACAAGTGCTTTTAGCAGCGAGCAGCACCCATGGAGGGCCTGCACGGCGCATTAGAAATGGGTGGGGGTGCCCGGCGACACCCCTACCCGACCGCCTTTGTCTCTCCCAGTGGTGATGTGTAAACACCGCACGTGCTACTCGTTTAAGGCTGAGTCGACCTAGGAGGAGGCCAAGTGCCGGTACAAACATTCGTCGCTGGTTGACGCGGGTCGAAACAGACAGAGAGACAGAGAGACAGAGAGACACAGACAGAGAGACAGAGAGACACAGACAGAGAGACAGAGAGACACAGACAGAGAGACAGAGACAGAGAGACAGAGACAGAGAGACACAGACAGAGAGACAGAGACAGAGAGACACAGACAGAGAGACAGAGAGACACAGACAGAGAGACAGAGACAGAGAGACAAAGACAGAGAGGCAGAGAGACAGAGAGACACAGACAGAGAGACAGAGAGACACAGACAGAGAGACAGAGAGACAGAGAGACACAGACAGAGAGACAGAGAGACACAGACAGAGAGACAGAGACAGAGAGACAGAGGGACAGAGAGACACAGACAGAGAGACAGAGACAGAGAGACACAGACAGAGAGACAGAGAGACACAGACAGAGAGACAGAGACACAGAGAGACACAGACAGAGAGACAGAGACAGAGAGACACAGTGACAGAGAGACAGAGAGACAGAGACAGAGAGACAGAGAGACACAGACAGAGAGACAGAGAGACACAGACAGAGAGACACAGACAGAGAGACACAGACAGAGAGACACAGACAGAGAAACAGAGACAGAGAGACACAGACAGAGAGACAGAGACAGAGAGACACAGACAGAGAGACAGAGACAGAGAGACACAGACAGAGAGACACAGACAGAGAGACACAGACAGAGAGGCAGAGACAGAGAGACACAGACAGAGAGACAGAGACAGAGAGACACAGACAGAGAGACAGAGACAGAGAGACACAGACAGAGAGACAGAGACAGAGAGACAGAGAGAAAAAATGGAGAGGGGGGAGAGAGGAGAGCGAGCGAGAGAGAGCGACATGGAGTAGGAAAATAGGGGGTAGAGAGAGAGGGGGGGCAGAGAGGGGGGTATAGAGAGGGGGAAGGGGTAAGGAAATCAGAGCGATAAATCTTTTGTTAAATCTTTCATTTAAAAGGGGGGGGGGGGGTGGGGTTACATAAAGCAAAGCATTAAAAAAACGACTACACGGAACATCTTCTTGTTTCCTCTGATCGTAAAGAGAGAGAGAGAGAGCGACGTGCCGCGACCTCTCTCGCTCCTCGTGGGCGAGTAGCGACCCCTCCCCTCCCCCGCACTGCGGCCTCGACTCGGAGCGCAGCCCGCGTGACCTCGTTAACTCGGCCGCATCACCCAGCCACATCACCCAGCCACATCTCCCAGCCTCATCACCCAGCCACATCACCCAGCCACATCACCCTGCCACATCACCCTGCCACATCACCCAGCCACATATCCCAGCCTCATCACCCAGCCACATCACCCAGCCACATCACCCTGCCACATCACCCTGCCACATCACCCTGCCACATCACCCAGCCACATCACCCAGCCACATCACCCTGCCACATCACCCAGCCACATATCCCAGCCTCATCACCCAGCCACATCACCCAGCCACATCACCCTGCCACATCACCCTGCCACATCACCCTGCCACATCACCCTGCCACATCACCCTGCCACATCACCCTGCCACATCACCCAGCCACATCACCCAGCCACATCACCCAACCTCATCACCCAGCCTCATCACCCAGCCTCATCACCCTGCCACATCACCCAACCACACCACCCAGCCACATCACCCAGCCACATCACCCAGCCACATCACCCTGCCACATCACTCAGCCACATCACCCTGCCACATCACCCAGCCACATCACCCAGCCACATCACCCAGCCACATCACCCAGCCACATCACTCTGCCACATCTTCTTCACGCAGCCAGGCGGAGAGGTGGCCGCGCGTGGTGCTGGCCACCCAGCCCCTCGTGTGCTGTTCCAGCCTTCATAGGTGCTCGCAAACAGCCCTTGCCCCTACAGTCTGTCAAGGCTACACGGGGGATCTTTGTCGCCGTGCGGTGAAAGGAGGAACAGGTGGGAGGGATGGGGATGGGGTGGGTGGGGCGTGTGATGAACGGGGGGGGGGGGGAGAGGAAAGGGCGGGGGGGAACAAAAGGAAGGGGGGTGGGGGGGGTGGGGGCTCGTGAATAATTGATGAGCGCTGATGGGCGAGGAGCTGCGCGGCGGTGATTTGAGTCGCCGCGGGGGGGGGGGGGCACGCGCCCTTCATTACGGGACCCGGTCCATCACCCAACATCACCCAACATCACCCAACATCACTCACCATCACTCAACATCACCCAACATCACCCAACATCACCCAACATCACTCACCATCACCCAACATCACTCAACATCACCCAACATCACCCAACATCACTCACCATCACCCAACATCACCCAACATCACCCAACATCACCCAACATCACTCACCATCACTCAACATCACTCAACATCACCCAACATCACCCACCATCACTCAACATCACTCAACATCACTCACCATCACTCAACATCACCCAACATCACCCAACATCACTCAACATCACCCAACATCACCCAACATCACTCACCATCACTCAACATCACCCAACATCACCCAACATCACCCAACATCACTCACCATCACCCAACATCACTCAACATCACCCAACATCACCCAACATCACTCACCATCACCCAACATCACCCAACATCACCCAACATCACTCACCATCACTCAACATCACTCACCATCACTCAACATCACCCAACATCACCCAACATCACTCACCATCACTCAACATCACCCAACATCACCCAACATCACCCAACATCACTCACCATCACCCAACATCACCCAACATCACCCAACATCACTCACCATCACTCAACATCACCCAACATCACCCAACATCACCCAACATCACTCAACATCACCCACCATCACCCAACATCACCCAACATCACTCAACATCACCCAACATCACCCAACATCACTCAACATCACCCAACATCACTCAACATCACCCAACATCACCCAACATCACCCAACATCACTCAACATCACCCAACATCACTCAACATCACCCAACATCACTCAACATCACCCAACATCACTCAACATCACTCAACATCACCCACCATCACCCAACATCACCCAACATCACTGAACATCACCCAACATCACTCACCATCACCCAACATCACCCACCATCAGTCACCATCACTCAACATCACTCACCATCACCCAACATCACTCACCATCAGTCACCATCACCTAACATCACTCACCATCACTCAACATCACTCACCATCACTCACCATCACCCAACATCACTCACCATCACTCACCATCACTCAACATCACCCAACATCACTCAACATCACTCACCATCACCCAACAGCACCCAACATCACTCAACATCACCCAACATCACCCACCATCACCTCCATTCTTCACCAGTCTCGCTCCTCCATCCTCTCGCAGGGCACACACGACCCCCACGCTCTCTCTATTCATCGACTCTCTCTATTCATCGTCTCTCTCTCTATTCATCGTCTCTCTCTATTCATCGACTCCCTCTATTCATCGACTCCCTCTATTCATCGACTCTCTCTATTCATCGACTCTCTCTATTAATCGACTCTCCCTCTATTCATCGACTCCCTCTATTCATCGACTCCCTCTATTCATCGACTCTCTCTATTCATCGTCTCTCTCTCCTCTATTCATCGACTCCCTCTATTCATCGACTCCCTCTATTCATCGACTCCCTCTATTCATCGACTCTCTCTATTCATCGACTCCCTCTATTCATCGACTCCCTCTATTCATCGACTCTCTCTCTCTATTCATCGACTCTCTCTCTATTCATTGACTCTCTCTCTCTATTCATCGACTCCCTCTCTATTCATTGACTCTCTCTCTCTATTCATCGACTCTCTCTATTCATCGACTCTCTCTATTCATCGACTCTCTCTATTCATCGACTCTCCCTCTATTCATCGACTCCCTCTATTCATCGACTCCCTCTATTCATCGTCTCTCTCTCTATTCATCGACTCCCTCTATTCATCGACTCTCTCTATTCATCGACTCTCTCTATTCATCGACTCCCTCTATTCATCGACTCCCTCTATTCATCGACTCTCTCTCTCTATTCATCGACTATCTCTCTATTCATTGACTCTCTCTCTCTATTCATCGACTCTCTCTATTCATCGACTCTCTCTATTCATCGACTCTCTCTCTCTATTCATCGACTCTCTCTCTATTCATCGACTCTCTATTCATCGACTCTCTCTATTCATCGACTCTCTATTCCATCGACTCTCTCTATTCATCGACTCTCTATTCATCGACTCTCTCTATTCATCGACTCACTCTCTATTCATCGACTCTCTCTCTATTCATCGACTCTCTCTATTCATCGACTCCCTCTCTATTCATCGACTCTCTCTCTATTCATCGACTTTCTCTATTCATCGACTCCCTCTATTCATCGACTCCCTCTATTCATCGACTCTCTCTATTCATCGACTCTCTCTATTCATCGACTCTCCCTCTATTCATCGACTCCCTCTATTCATCGACTCCCTCTATTCATCGACTCTCTCTATTCATCGTCTCTCTCTCCTCTATTCATCGACTCCCTCTATTCATCGACTCTCTCTATTCATCATCTCTCTCTCTCTATTCATCGTCTCTCTCTATTCATCGACTCTCTCTATTCATCGACTCCCTCTATTCATCGACTCCCTCTATTCATCGACTCTCTCTATTCATCGACTCTCTATTCATCGACTCTCTCTATTCATCGACTCCCTCTCTATTCATCGACTCTCTCTATTCATCGACTCTCTCTATTCATCGACTCTTTCTATTCATCGACTCTTTCTATTCATCGACTCTCTCTATTCATCGACTCTCTATTCATCGACTCTCTCTATTCATCGACTCTCTCTATTTATCGACTCTCTATTCATCGACTCTCTCTCTATTCATCGACTCTCTCTCTATTCATCGACTCTCTATTCATCGATTCTCTCTATTCATCGACTCTCTCTATTCATCGAGTCTCTCTCTATTCATCGACTCTCTATTCATCGACTCTCTCTCTATTCATCAACCCTCTCTATTCATCGACTCTCTCTATTCATCGACTCTCTCTATTCATCGACTCTCTATTCATCGACTCTCTCTCTATTCATCGACTCCCTCTATTCATCGACTCTCTCTCTATTCATCGACTCTCTCTCTATTCATCGACTTTCTCTATTCATCGACTCTCTCTCTATTCATCGACTATCTCTATTCATCGACTCTCTCTCTATTCATCGACTCTCTCTATTCATCGACTCTCTCTCTATTCATCGACTCTCTATTCATCGACTCTCTCTCTATTCATCGACTCTCTCTATTCATCGACTCTCTCTATTCATCGACCCTCTCTCTATTCATCGACTCTCTATTCATCGATTCTCTCTCTCTATTCATCGACTCTCTATTCATCGACTCTCTCTATTCATCGAGTCTCTCTCTATTCATCGACTCTCTATTCATCGACTCTCTCTATTCATCATCTCTCTCTCTCTATTCATCGACTCTCTATTCATAGACTCTCTCTATTCATCGACTCTCTATTCATCGACTCTCTCTATTCATTGAGTCTCTCTCTATTCATCAACTCTCTATTCATCGACTCTCTCTATTCATCGACTCTCTCTCTCTATTCATCGTCTCTCTCTATTCATCGACTCTCTCTGTTCATCGACTCTCTCTATTCATCGACTCTCTCTCTATAACTCGACTCTCTCTCTATTCATCGACTCTCTCTCTATTCATCGACTCTCTCTCTATTCATCGACTCTCTCTCTCTCTATTCATCGACTCGCTATTCATCGACTCTCCGCGTGGTTGACTCGTCCTCTGTCTGCCAGATCGTGTCGCACAAGAAGATCACCAAGCCACTGGTCCTCAAGCATGGCAAGCACGCGGGCAAGTCCACCATCACGGTGAGTCCACCTTCACTCAGTCCACCATTGCCAGTCGACTACAATCAATCCTGACGGTGAGTCCACCACAGCACTCTAGCAGTGAGGAGTCCACCACAGCAGTGAGTCACTCTAGCAGTGAGTCCACCACAACAGTGAGTCCACCACAACAGTGAGTCCACCACAGCAGTGAGTCCACCACAGCAGTGAATCACTCTAGCAGTGAGTCCACCACAGCAGTGAGTACACTCTAGCAGTGAGGAGTCCACCACAGCAGTGAGACCACTCTAGCAGTGAGTTCGCAAAACAGTGAGTCCACCACAGCAGTGAGTCCACTCTAGCAGTGAGTCCACCACCGCAGTGAGTCCACCACATCAGTGAGTCCACCACAACAGCGAGTCCACCACAGCAGTGATTCCACCACAACAGTGAGTCCACTCTAGCAGTGAGTCTACCACAGTAGTGAGTCCACCACAGCAGTGAGTTCACCACCGCAGTGAGTCCACTCTAGCAGTGAGTCCACCACAGCAGTGAGTCCACCACAACAGTGAGTCCACTCTAGCAGTGAGTCCACCACCGCAGTGAGTCCACTAGCAGTGAGTCCACCACAACAGTGAGTCCACTCTAGCAGTGAGTCACTCTAGCAGTGAGTCCACCACAGCAGTGAGACCACCACAGCAGTGAGTCCACCACAACAGTGAGTCCACCACAACAGTGAGACCACCACAGCAGTGAGTCCACCACAACAGTGAGTCACTCTAGCAGTGAGTCCACCACAGCAGTGAGTCCACCACAACAGTGTGTCCACTCTAGCAGTGAGTCTACCACAGTAGTGAGTCCATCACAACAGTGAGTCCACCACAGTAGTGAGTCACTCTAGCAGTGAGGAGTCCACCACAGCAGTGAGACCACTCTAGCAGTGAGTCCACCACAGCAGTGAGTCCACCACAACAGTGAGTCCACTCTATCAGTGAGTCTACCACAGCAGTGAATCCACCACAGCAGTGAGTCCACCACAGCAGTGAGTCACTCTAGCAGTGAGTCCACCACAACAGTGAATCCACCACAGCAGTGAGTCCACCACAACAGTGAGTCCACCACAACAGTGAGTCCACTCTAGCAGTGAGTCCACCACAACAGTGTGTCCACCACAGCAGTGAGTCAATCTAGCAGTGAGTCCACCACAACAGTGAGTCCACCACAACAGTGAGTCCACCACAACAGTGAGTCCACCACAGCAGTGAGTCACTCTATCAGTGAGTCCACCACAGCAGTGAGTCCACCACAACAGAGAACCCACTATCATAGTAAGTTAACCATCATTGTGAGTCCACCATCTCGGTGCGTCCACCTTCATTAAGTCCGCCATTGCGAGTCGACCACAGTCAATCATCACCGTAATCCCACCACATCAATGAGTCCACCATCACAGTGAGTCCACCATCACAGTGAGTCCACCATCACATTTACTTTACAACAAACACTGCCCCTTTATGGACGCAAACATCCATCATCATTCCACTGCTGGATGAAGGCCGCCCACCCCGAGCCGTGTCCATCCCTCACCGGTCACGTGATACAACCAACAGTCAATCCTTCTCGCTCCTCCTCGCTGCTCGCGATCCGATCGCTCCATCTCCGCGGGTGACCAACCCCCTCGCGTCCGCGTGCCCGATGCAAGCAGCTGGGCCACTCACCAAAGCTTCCTCATTGCTCCGGGGAGTTCATTGGGGGCCCTGCAGACGCGCACCATCGCCGCTCCAGCGGCTCGCTCATTCGCTGGCGACGAGGCTGCGATCCGGACTCCACCAGAGTCCGCGCAGCGGAGGCAGCTCGAGTCGCGGTGATCGCGAACGCGCGGCGCTTCTCTCGTCGCGGTGCTCGTGGGCGAAGTCGGCGGTGTACAGAACGAGAAAAAAGACGCTGGAAGGTGACACTGACGGCTGCTCTGTGCTGCTTCCAGTGTTCAGGGGACTGCTGAAGGCGCGGCTCCGGCTGGAGCACGCCACGTACCACACACACGTGTCGGTGATGTGCAGCGCGTCTTCTTCGAACGCTGGGGAGCCGGACAAGCCCCTCTCTGTACCAGCGTGGACGGCACCCCCCACGTGTTCACCTTCTGAAGCGCTCGCTCGTCACTGTGGCGTGCGCGATGATCACCACAACCACCATGTGACTTTTCTTTCGTGTTGTGCGCGGTGCTTTTTAGCGCCACAGCGCGTGGATTTGTAGTGTTTATTTTCAATTGTGTTGCTGGTGACTTTGTGTATTTCATATCGAAATCGCCTCCAGTGCTTTTGCTGCTGGCGACAATAAAAAGTTGTTTAAAAGTCAAAGTCTCTCCCTCTCTCTCTATCTCCCTCCCTCTCTCTATTGCTCTCTCCCCCTCTGTCTCCTCGCTGGTCCAGGTGCCCGGCGTCAATGTCCGCGCCCTGCTCGACCCACGCCCATTCCGCGTGTCCACCACCAACACAGGCCACGTGACACTTCAGCTCTTCGACTTGATTAGCAAACTCACTCTGCCCCCCCTCCACCTCGCCCACTCCCCCTTACCCCCTCCCCCTCCTGCCCCCCGCACTCAGATAATCGCCGAGGAGCTCTCGGGCAACAACAACTACGTGGAGTTGTTCTTCAGCGCGAGGAAGTTGGATGACAAGGTGAGGGTAGGGGGGGGCATTCATCACAGTCCACGTGGTGTCAACGTCACGCCGCGTGACCAATTACCGCGACCAATTACCGCAGCGCGTGCTCGGGGAAGGAGTGCAAGGGGGGTGATGGGAGAGAGAGGGGAGGGGGCTATGATAGTGCCCCCCCCCACCCCATTGTCTCGAGGATGAGTCAAGGGTAGAGTCTGTTGGGGGCATCGTGAGCGATGAGACGCAACAGCGCCACGCTAGACCGACACACGCACACCGCCTCTCTCCCTCTCTCTGTGTCAGCACAACCACAACAACTTCCACCGCCGTTCGCTACTCCCGTTGTGGTGACGTGACCACGACCCTTGTGCCAGGCTAGATGCACCTTGAGGTCACGTGAAGTATCAAAAGCTCACGAGCAGTAGGTCACGGGACAGACCCAGGTGTCGTGGATTGACTGACCGTAATGACTGTGATCCCCAATGTACCAACTCGCTGCGTTTTAGCCGCTCGGCGCTCCGCTCGTTGTTGTGAGCGTCGCTCCTCCGCTCTCCGTTGTTGTTGGAGGGCGACTGCCTCCAACTGCTCAGTAGCGGCGTCCTTCACGAGCCTCCTCCACAGAGGCCGATCTTGACACCGCTGGTACCGGCCTTCGACAAGTAAACTCGGCTCCATATCCTCCTGTATCACATCACCATATCCTCCTGTATCACATCACCATATCCTCCTGTATCACATCACCATATCCTCCTGTATCACATCACCATATCCTCCTGTATCACATCATCGCTTGCCGGAGGAGCTTATCGATGATGGGACTGTGTGGGGATCTGTCAAAGATCTGTGAGCTCGCACAATCCAGCCTGGTTAAACCCAGGATGGATCATTGGCAGACCAGTCTGCATGTTTCAAACCAGTGCATATGTTACTTTAGAGAGATCCACGTTTCGCAAGCATAGAGAAGGGAGGACATCATTGTGGCCGATAAGAACCGGAGCTTCGTGTGAAGCGACTGGCCGGGTAGCTTTCAGACAGCATTGAGCAGCTGAGTCGTAACCAGGATTAGTCCATCACCATCGACATAATCGTCATCATCATCGACAGCGTCAACATCATTGACATCATAATCATTATCACATACTTAATCATCATCATTCACATCACTACCATTATCATCACCATCATCGTAATAATCACAAACCTAATCATCATCATAGTCATCATTGATATCACCACCGACATCACCATCATCACACATTTAATCGTCATCGTTGACATCATGACTACCATCATCATCACGATCATCATCACCACCACCATCGGCATCATCGCCACTTATCATCGAAATCATCATTCGTTGCTGTTGCGTTCCAAGTAAATTATCAGTGCCTCCACCTGCGCGCATTATTATGACCGGAAATCGCAAATCCTGGAGTGGAGTGTGGAGCCTCTACGGAGCCCGCAGTTTCCGCTCTGCCGGCGGCTGGAACCGAATTGGAGTTAAATAAATAAATAAAGAGGCACACGGAGCATCATGGGCGGGGGGAGACAGAGGGAGAGAGGGAGCGGCCTTCATTATCGCGGAGGAATAAAAGCAATTTTCAGAAATGTCAGCAAATGTGTTAGAGATTTAGAGATAATGTAGTTGGCGTGCGTGCTAGAGAGGGGACTGTGCGTGGGGCGCGCGGGGCGAGGGGGGGCAGAGGGGGTACAGGGGGGAGGGGGTAGAGGGGGGAGTGGGAATGAGAGAGAGGGGGTAACGGGGGAGGGGGTAGAGGGGGGAGTGGGAATGGGAGAGAGGGGGTACAGGGGGGAGGGGGTAGAGGGGGGAGGGGATAAGAGGGTTGAGAAGAGAGGGGAGGGTATGGAGGGGAGAGGGGAGATAATAGAGTGGGAGGGAGAACGGGAGAGGGGTTTGCAGGGTGGGGGTAAGGGAGAGGGTTGAGGTCACGAACAGACCATCGGTCACCCGAACGCTCCCTGTCACCTTCCGCCACGGTTCAAGCGGGGTCCGCCTAACGAGGGGCCAGGGGGTCTGAACCCCTCGACCGGCGATCCCCAACTTACATCCACCCCGCCCCCACCCCGCCCCCACCAGGACCTTTTCAGCAAGTCGGACCCCTTCCTGGAGATCCACAAGCTGGACGACGACGACACCTTCCAGCTGGTGCACAGGAGCGAGGTGGGGGCGCGGGCTCCTTGCGCTGCCGTTGCTCGCGGCGTTGTCCATAGCTTGTGACGTGGGGGTGGTGGGGAGGGGCTCCGGAAGTCCTCCCTCCTGGGGCAGGGGAGGGCGCGGGTCGTTGCCTCTGAGCAGGAATATTAACGCGGGCAAGGTCGGAGGAGGGGGGGGCTGAAGCGGCCAATCCGACGCCTCCCTCGAGGCGACCGACGATAGTCTGACGTCACAAAGACACGAGTCGGCCTCAAGGCCGATGTCGCCCGCTGTGGTGACATCGCCATGACACCGAACAGTCACCGGCCCCCTACTGGCAGACGCATCCCGGGCTTGCAGGCCAGCTGCTAATGTCACCACGACTCGCTGTGACGACACCGCTGTGACGACACCACTGTGACGACACCGCTGTGACGACACCGCTGTGACGACACCGCAACTCGCTGTGACGACACCGCGACTCGCTGTGACGACACCGCTGTGACGACACCGTGACTCGCTGTGACGACACCGCAACTCGCTGTGACGACACCGCGACTCGCTGTGACGACACCGCTGTGACGACACCGCGACTCGCTGTGATGTCACCGCGACTTGCTGTGACGACACCGCTGTGACGACACCGTGACTCGCTGTGACGACACCGCGACTCGCTGTGACGACACCACGACTCGCTGTGACGACACCGCGACTCGCTGTGACAACACCGCTGTGACGACACCACGACTCGCTGTGATGTCACCGCGACTTGCTGTGACGACACCGCTGTGACGACACCGCAACTCGCTGTGACGACACCGCGACTCGCTGTGACGACACCGCTGTGACGACACCGTGACTCGCTGTGACGACACCGCTGTGACGACACCGCGACTCGCTGTGACGACACCACGACTCGCTGTGACGACACCGCGACTCGCTGTGACGACACCGCTGTGACGACACCGTGACTCGCTGTGACGACACCGCTGTGACGACACCGCGACTCGCTGTGACGACACCACGACTCGCTGTGACGACACCGCGACTCGCTGTGACGACACCGCTGTGACGACACCGCGACTCGCTGTGACGACTCGCTGTGACGACACCGCGACTCGCTGTGACGCCACCACGAGGTCATGGCGAGGCTGCACCGCGGGGGGTGACGTCCCCTGAGCCCCCCTCCCCCACCCCTTGCCTGTGTCCAGGTGATCAAGAACAACCTGAACCCCGTGTGGGCGCCTTTCACTATCTCCATCAACTCGCTCTGCAGCTGCAATTACGACAGACTAATTAAGGTAATTAGCGGGGTGGTGTGGGGGTGGAGGGAGTCTTAGGGGGAGGGGGGTTTCTGCCCAAACCTCGCGGAGTTTCGCCTCCTCCCTCCCCTGGAGTGTTTGAGTCGGTGAGCCAAAGTTGTGGTTTTGTATTCGTGACTGTGGTTATGACTGTAGCCGAGTTGACTGTGGTTATGACTGTGGCCGTATTGACTGTGGTTATGACTGTGGCCGTGGTGGATATGACTGTGGCCGTGTTGACTGTTTTTATGACTGTGGCCGTGTTGACTGTGGTTATGACTGTGGCCGTGTTGACTGTGGTTATGACTGTGGCCGTGTTGACTGTGGTTATGACTGTAGCCGTGGTGGTTATGACTGTGGCCGTGTTGACTGTGGTTATGACTGTGGCCGTGTTGACTGTGGTTATGACTGTGGCCGTGGTGGTTATGACTGTGGCCGTGTTGACTGTGGTTATGACTGTAGCCGTGTTGACTGTGGTTATGACTGTGGCCGTGTTGACTGTGGTTATGACTGTGGCCGTGTTGACTGTGGTTATGACTGTGGCCGTGTTGTCTGTGGTTATGACTGTGGCCGTGTTGACTGTGGTTATGACTGTGGCCGTGGTGGTTATGACTGTGGTTATGATGCTCCGTGGTTTGTAACGGTGGTTATGTTGTGATTGTGGTTACTGTGGTGGTTGTGTTAATGGTTTTGACTGTGTTTGTGACTGGTTGTGGTTGTATTTATGGTAGTTGTGGTTGTGGTGGTTGTGAGGTCAGTTTGTGGTGGTGGTTGTGGTGGTGGTTGTGATGTCAGTTGGTGGTGGTGGTTGTTGTGGTGGTTGTTGTGGTGGTTGTGGTTCAGTTTGTGGTGGTTGTGGTGGTTGTGATGTCAGTTTGTGGTGGTGGTGGTTGTGGTTGTTGTGGTGGTTGTGATGTCAGTTCGTGGTGGTGGTTGTGGTGGTTGTGATGTCAGTTCGTGGTGGTGGTGGTGGTTGTGGTGGTTGTGATGTCAGTTTGTGGTGGTGGTTGTTGTGGTGGTTGTGATGTCAGTTTGTGGTGGTGGTTGTTGTGGTGGTTGTTGTGGTGGTTGTGGTTCAGTTTGTGGTGGTGGTGGTTGTTGTGGTGGTTGTGGTGATGGTTGTGGTTCAGTTCGTGGTGGTGGTGGTTGTTGTGGTGGTTGTGGTTCAGTTCGTGGTGTGGGACTGGGACTCAAGTGGAAAGCACGACCTCATCGGGGAGTTCTCCTCGACATTCAACGAGATGCTGGGAGCCCGCGATGGCAAACAGGTACCATCATCATGAACATCAACATCATGAACATCACCATCACACATCACCATCATAACATCAACATCGCCATCACACATCACCATCATAACATCAACATCACCATCATCATCAAAATCATCAACATCATCATGAACATCATCATGAACATCGCCATCACACATCACCATCATAACATCAACATTACCATCATCATCAACATCATGAACATCATCATGAACATCACCATCACACATCACCATCATAACATCAACATCATCATCAACATCATCAACATCATTATGAGACCTCCTTTGCCAGAAACAAGATATAGGGCATATTATTATTATCAGAGTTGTCTTTTTTGTTTGCATTTTGACTGCTTGTGTTGTGGTTATTGCAAACATGATGCCTTGAATAAAGGTGTCAGTTTTTGTGCCAGTTAAAAGGGTAAAACCTATTCCTATCATCAACATCATCACTAACATCACCATCATAACATCAACATCGCCATCACACATCACCATCATAACATCAACATCACACATTACCATCATAACATCATCAACATCATTATTTCCACAACCATCATCACCACCACGAACATCAATCATTACCATCACCAGCATCATCACCATTAAAATGATATTTACCAACTCCCACCACCATTACCACCACCACCACCACAATGATCATCACCATCACCATTATCCCATCATCATCAACGTAACAATGACCACCACCATCAACGCAATCATTAGTATCGCTATCCCCCCCCCATCCCCTGGCCCTGCAGGTGCAGTGGAACTGCATCAACCCCAAGTACAAGCTCAAGAGGAGGAATTACAAAAACTCTGGGGTCGTGATCCTCACGCAGTGCAGGGTGAGCCACACCCACGCGGCACCCACCGCCGTGGTCACCTGCTATTACCTTGTTGTTGATGTTGTTATTAATTCACCGCTACACCACCCCCCGCTACACCCTCCCCGCTACACCACCCTGGTACACCACATTCCGCTACACCTCTCCCTACACCCCCACCGCTACACCATCCCCGCTACACCACCCCCCGCTACACCATCCCCGCTACACCACCCCACTACACCCCCCTCCGCTACACCACCCACCACTACACCACCCACCACTACACCACCCACCGCTACACCACCCACCACTACACCACCCACCGCTACACCACCCCACTACACCACCCACCACTACACCCCCCCCCTACACCACCCACCGCTACACCACCCCACTACACCACCCACCACTACACCACCACACTACACCACCCACCACTACACCACCCACCGCTACACCACCCACCACTACACCACCCACCACTACACCACCCACCACTACACCCCCCTCCGCTACACCACCCACCACTACACCACCCACCACTACACCACCACACTACACCACCCACCACTACACCACCCCACCACTACACCCACCCACTACACCACCCACCACTACACCACCCACCACTACACCACCCCGCTACACCACCCACCGCTACACCACCCACCACTACACCACCCACCACTACACCCACCCACTACACCACCCACCACTACACCACCCACCACTACACCACCCACCACTACACCCCCCTCCGCTACACCACCCACCACTACACCACCCACCACTACACCCACCCACTACACCACCCACCACTACACCACCCCACTACACCCCCCACCACTACACCCACCCACTACACCACCCACCACTACACCACCCCACTACACCCCCCACCACTACACCCCCCCCCCCCGCTACACCCCCCTCCGCTACACCACCCCCCGCTACACCCCCCACCACTACACCACCACCACTACACCACCCACCACTACACCCCCCTCCGCTACACCACCCACCACTACACCACCCACCACTACACCACCACACTACACCACCCACCACTACACCACCCACCACTACACCACCCACCACTACACCACCCCGCTACACCACCCACCGCTACACCACCCACCACTACACCACCCACCACTACACCCACCCACTACACCACCCACTACTACACCACCCACCACTACACCACCCACCACTACACCCCCCTCCGCTACACCACCCACCACTACACCACCCACCACTACACCCACCCACTACACCACCCACCACTACACCACCCCACTACACCCCCCACCACTACACCCCCCTCCGCTACACCACCCCCCGCTACACCCCCCACCACTACACCCCCCCCCCCCCCGCTACACCCCCCTCCGCTACACCACCCCCCGCTACACCCCCCACCACTACACCACCACCACTACACCCACCACTACACCACCCCCCGCTACACCCCCCAGCACTACACCCCCCCACCACTACACCCCCCACCGCTACACCACCCCCCGCTACACCCCCCACCACTACACCCCCCCCCCCCGCTACACCCCCCTCCGCTACACCACCCCCCGCTACACCCCCCACCACTACACCACCACCACTACACCCACCACTACACCACCCCCCGCTACACCCCCCCACCACTACACCCCACCCCCCCCCCCCCCCCCCCCCCCCGCTACTGTGGCCAACTCACGTCGGCTTCTGCGCCCCGTGGAGCGCCTCGTCTGTAACGCCCCCCCCCCCCCCCTCGTGGCTCTCTCCCTCGCGTGCGCCGAGCAGATCCAGCGAGTTTACTCCTTCCTCGACTACATCATGGGGGGCTGTCAGATCCAGTTCACGGTGAGGGCGCGCCTCGTCCCACTCACCCCCCGCTCCCCCCCCCCGCTCCCCCCCCCCCCCCCCCACTCTTCCTCGCTCTCCCCCGCTCCCCCCGCTCTCCCCCCGCTCCCCCCCCCGCTCCCCCCGCTCTCTCTGCTGCACGTGGGGAGTCACCCAGCGCTGTCGAGGCAGTGACGGTTCGTCGATACTCCTGCCGCTGTTACTGCTGCCACTGCTGTTACTGCTGCTACTGCTGCTGCTACTGCCGCTGCTGCTGTTACTCCTGCTGCTACTGCTGCCGCTGCTGCTGCTACTGCTGCTGCCGCTGCTACTCCTGCCACTGCTACTGCTACTGCCGCTGCTGCTTCTACCGCTGCTGCTGCTACTGCTACCGCCACTACTACTGTCGCTGCTGCTACTGCCGCTGCTGCTTCTACCGCTGCTGCTACTGCCGCTGCTGCTACTACTGCAGCTGCTACTGTTGCTGCTGCTACTACTGCTGCTGCTACTGCTGCTAGTACTACTGCTGCTATTACAGCTACTACTGCTACTATTACTGCTGCTACTACTGCTGCTACTACTGCTGCTGCTACAGCTGCTAGTACTACTGCTGCTACTACAGCTACTACTGCTGCTACTGCTACTACTGCTGCTACTACTGCTGCTACTACTGCTGCTACCGCTGCTAGTACTACTGCTGCTACTGCTGCTACTGCTGCCGCTACTACTGCTGCTACAGCTGCCGCTGCGTTGCGGCCGCGTGCGGAGGAGATTCTGCAACGGTCGATCCCCACGCAGGTGGCGGTGGACTTCACCGCCTCCAACGGGGACCCCAAGAACTCGTGCTCGCTGCACTACATCCACCCGTACCAGCCCAACGAGTACCTCAAGGCGCTGGTTTCCGTGGGGGAGATCTGCCAGGACTACGACAGGCACGGGAGATCGCAGGACGAACCCACCCCCCCCCCCCCCCCTGCTCACTTCTCAAAGTCTAAGACTCTAAGCGATCTCCTTCTGCCCCGGTTAACAATTCGGGCATTGGGTGCCGATCGCCCGTTTGCAGCCCTCCAGGGCCAGTGGTGGAAATTCCCCATTCCCTGCGGTGGGGGTGAGTCGACCCACAACCGCCGTCGACTGACCCGCAAAGTGCTACTGATTTTTTGGATCCCCGGAGGGATGATGGGCCGATTCGAAACCACCGCCAGACGTGATCTGAACTCACGACCTTCCGAGTGGCCACACAAACCACGTGGGAGGGGGGGGGGCGGAGATGTCGCGCGAGTTGGGTCGGGGGCGGGGACGCGACGGGCAACGCAAGCACACGGTTTATAAACGAGCAACCCGTCCCACCCGCATTGTGACGCGTGGCTGTGTTTCTGTTCGCAGTGACAAACTCTTCCCGGCGTACGGCTTCGGAGCCAGAATCCCCCCCAACTATCACGTGCGTCGCACCGACGTCACAAAGAACGACGATCAGCGTCACGACGATTCTGATGACCATTAGCGTTATGACGAGTCTGATGACGATGATCATTATGACGAGTCTGATGACGATGATCATTATGACGATTCTGATGACGATTATTATTATGACAGTTCGGATGACGATTAGCGTTATGACGATTCTAATGACGATTATCAAGACGATAAGCGTTAAGACGTTTCTAATGACGATTATCATGACGATTAGCGTTATGACGATTCTAATGACGATTATCATGACGATTAGCGTTATGACGATTCTGATGACGATTATCATGACAATTAGCGTTATGACGATTCTAATGACGATTATCATGACGCTTATCATGACGATTAGCGTTATGACGATTCTGATGACGTTCATCATTATGACGGTTCGGATGACGATTGGCGTTCTGATTCTCATTACTATTACCGTACGATTAATTATTATTTATGAATTTCACATTCATTATTTTGAACACAATTAGTATAAATAGGATGCTGATTATTCATTAATTTAAAATTATGATTGTGGTGATGCATCCTCTAGGACCCTAATTATTACATAATTCATAAGAGTTGTGACATTTGATGATTATGATCGTCATTATCATAATGCTGAGTTCAAGTGTGGGCTACCCAGGCCCAATGTGGAAGAGTGGCCCAAGTCCCCTGTAGAGTTTGCTCTCCTCCAGCTCGCTCTAGTGGAGGACCTTGCAGGGCTGCGCCTTTATCTGTTCACCCTGGGTAGACCCTGCATGGGCGCCCCGCCACCGTGGGGGTGGCGAGGCCGAGTCCCGCGCACGTGGCACGGAGCGCGTGGCCACTCGCATCAGACAGACCTCCTCCTCCTCCACGCGTCCGTCACTCCATTGGCCACGCGGCATTAATCCTTCTGGGACTGCATCGTTACAGCAGCATTGGTTCAGCACAAGCAACACTCTGAAGCGATGGTTTCGACATTCGCTGTCTCATCAGTTGGTCTCGTTCGCAGGTTTCCCACGACTTTGCGCTCAACCTCAACCTGGACAACCCCGTGTGCGAAGGTACAGCTCGCTGATTCCATCATCATCATCACGATGACGGCTACTCGATTGTTATGGGCGAGTTACGTGGGTGATGTTGATATACAGTCTACATGTTGATATACAGTCAACATGTTGATATACAGTCTACATGTTGATATACAGTCTACATGTTGATATACAGTCTACGTGTTGATATACAGTCTACATGTTGATATACAGTCTACATGTTGATATACAGTCTACGTGTTGATATACAGTCTACATGTTGATATACAGTCTATGTGTGTGCGTGTGAACATCGCCAAAGCGGTTCTGGCCACCCATCCCCTCGTGTACCGTGCCGGCCTTCATAGGTGCTGCTTGCTCACAGCACTTGCCCCAACAGTCTGTTAAGGCTACACGGGGGACATTTGTATTTGTGCTTTTTTTAATTAACGGAGTCCCGATTTTAAACAAATTTTGTTTGGGGTCTGCCCCTCTAGCCCTGCCCCTGGCAGTCTCAGTAATCACAAACGATCTTCATCATGGATGAGGATCCTCGTGAATTCTCGTCGTCAAGATTCTGCATTGCAGTGTTCGTGCTCCGACTTCGTCGTTCATGGTGAACGTTATGAATATCATCTACATCTGAATGTTTGACATCATTCATCACCACCACCCTGACTCGTGATTATCATCGTCAGAGAAGTAAACACGCGAACAATTGCTGTGGCCTTTCTCGTTACTATAATCACAACAATCTCAAACCCAAGAATATTCATCGCCTTGATGATGGTAATTACCATTTGCATTATGATAATAAATCATCAACCCGTAACGCAGCATTGCCATCATCTCACGGGGGTGGGGGGGTGAGGGGTGGGGGGGAGGGTGGAGGTGAGGGGGGTGAGAGAGGGGGCGAGTGGAGCGGATGGGGGGGGGGGTGGAGCGGGTGGGGGGGGAGTGGGGGAGGGTGGAGCGGATGGGGGGGGTGGAGTGGATGGGGGAGGGGGGTGGAGCAGGTGGGGGGGATAGAGCGGGTGGGGGGGGTGGAGCGGGTGGGGGGTGGAGCGGGTGGGGGGGGGTGGAGCGGGTGGGAGTGGGGGAGGGTGGAGCGGATGGGGGGGGTGGAGTGGATGGGGGAGGGGGGTGGAGCGGGTGGGGGGGGGGAGCGGGTGGGGGGGGTGGAGCGGGTTGGGGGGGGTGGAGCGGGTGGGGGGGGTGGAGCGGGTGAGGAGGGTGGAGCGGGTGAGGAGGGTGGAGCGGGTGGGGGGGGGTGTCATCACGATTCGTCGTCAGCCAGAGACGCATGGCAACTCACTCCCGTGGGGGGGAGCGAGGGGTCCTCAAAATTGGATTCATTTTCAGTCGCGCCGCACGTCAACACGAGACAAAAGCATCCCTCTTGTAGCCTCCTGGAGTCTCAATACCACAGCGATGCTCGGCCTCTGCTGGTGGGTGACTGTGGTTCAGTCACGTGTGTGTTCTGTGTGTGTGTCGTACACCCTCCTCCACCCGACACAGCCCGGACGCCGCCGTAGCTCCAGTCCCCGCTTTGAGCAGGACACAAAATCTCCGCCCAGCGTGGAGATGGAGCGCTAGGATCGGTGTCAGTGCCGGAGTGAGATTGTGGGCGGTAGCAGCGCTGGACTGTGAGCGACGGTGCGGGGTGGCCTTAATCAGCAGTGGATAGAGAATGGCTCGCGATGACGACGGTGGTGTGGGCACGGTATCCACTGCATTGCTGCTGCTGCTGTCCCCAGGCATCCAGGGCGTGGTGGAGGCCTACCAGAACTGCCTGCCCCAGATCCAACTGTACGGGCCCACCAACATCGCTCCCATCATCAACAAGGTGGCCAAGTTCGCCATCGAGGAGGAGAACACCAAGCAAGCCTCGGTACCCCCCCCCACCTCCTCCACCTCGTCATCATCGTCAACCCCCCTCCTCCTCTTCACCCCCCCCCCCCACTCAGTCCCCCCACCCCACATCCTCATTCCCTCCTCCTCGTTCCTTCTCCCGCTCATCCTTCCCCCTCCCCCACTGCCCCCCACTCCTCCACGCGCCTCCTCCCCCACACCCCCCTCCACCCCCACCGTGTGAGCAGCTCAAGGCCGCGCTCACGCCACCATCGCGGGGGGGGGGGGCGAGGTGGGGGGCGAGGGGGGGTTCTGCCCTTGACAAGAGCGATCACTTTGAGTCTCTGCGTTGGCTGTGATATTTGTTGAGATCTGCTGTGGTTATTGATGTCTGTTGATGTTTGTTGTTGTGGTCATTGATGTCTGTTGATGTTTGTTGATGATTGTTGTTTTGGTTGGCGATGCTGTTGCTGCTTGTAAGCATAGTTGTTTATCGTTGTTGACGTATGTTGATGTTTGTTATAGTTATTGATATTGTTGGTGTTTGTTGATGTTTGTTGTTGTGGTTATTGATGTTGTTTGATGGTTGTTGCTGTTGTTGATGTCCCAGTGCTGTGGAGACAGTAGCGAGCATTGCTGGATCACACAAAGACGTTGTTGTGAAACTCCCTTCACGTGGGCGTCAGGGAGGAGAAGGCGGCACAGCAGAGTGCGGAATAATCACCATCTGTTTACATCTGTACAGGGATAGAGTGTTGCCCCCTCGCACGCGTGGGGGAATTATTTGCGAGTTCCGGTTTCCTCCCACGTGTATAATAATAATAGTAAACACATCTCATCGCTTATCGTCAGAAAACCTCTGAGGATTAAACTTCGACGGAGCGGCAGCAGCGGGACCCTGCTGAGCGAGAGTCATGGGACTCGGGATGGCTCTCCTTGGTTGCTTCTGTTATACCGTTATCAGTAATCGGATTCAATGATCACTATCATCACCATCACTACCGTTGTCGTGATGACGACTGAACCCCTGGTGTGGTGGTGGCGGTGGTGGTGTCCGTGCGGCCGAGCAGCAGTACTTCATCCTGCTCATCCTCACGGACGGCGTGGTCACCGACATGGCCGACACGCGCGAGGCCATCGTGCGCGCCTCCCACCTGCCCATGTCCATCATCATCGTGGGCATCGGCAACGCCGACTTCACCGACATGCAGATCCTGGACGGGGACGACGGCGTGCTGCGCTCGCCGCGCGGGGAGCCCGCGGCACGCGACATCGTCCAGTTCGTGCCCTTCCGCGACTTCAAGAGCGTGAGAGCGTCCTCCACCACCACCGCCACTGCCGCCACGGGCCCGGCTAGATCGATGGTGAAGTGTGTTGATGAGTGTCGACGACGAGTGACGACGAGCCCCGTGTGTCTCCCGCGTGACCACGTGGTGTGCGCGTGCGTGCAGGCGTCCCCGGCGGCGCTGGCCAAGTGCGTGCTGGCGGAGGTGCCGCGCCAGGTGGTGGACTACTACGGCAGCCGTCGTGTGGAGCCCTGCAGCCCCTGTCTGCACTCACAGCGCGTGCCCTCCACGCTGGCCCTCTAGGCAGCCTCGGGACGTGCCCTCTGCCCTGCCTCTCTTGACGTGCCCTCTGCCCTGCCCCTATAGACATAGGGCATACTCTCTACCCTGCCCTCATTGATACAGGCATGTCGTCTATCCTGCCCTTATAGACACTTGGGCAGGGCTGAGGGAGGGAGGGGCTACGAGCTTGCCATGTGTCCTTGTTGAGCCGTCCAGACAAGTGGCAGAATTCCTGAATCCCCTCTGCTGAACGGAGTCCTGTCGTCACCTGGGGGGTGGCGGGATGAACGTGAATGGGGGGCGGAGGAGAGCGAGCAGGGCTCGGGGTGGAGAATTCCTCCACCACCAAGCCCTCTGGGATTCCATGCTCACTGGCAGGTCATGCCCTCTGGCAGGTCATGCCGTCTGGCAGGCCATGCCCTCTGGCAGGTCATGCTCTCTGACAGGTCATGCCCTCCGACAGGCCATGCCGTCTGACAGGTCATGCCGTCTGACAGGTCATGCCCTCTGGCAGGCCATGCCGTCTGACAGGTCATGCCGTCTGACAGGCCATGCCGTCTGACAGGTCATGCCCTCTGACAGGCCATGCCGTCTGACAGGTCATGCCCTCTGGCAGACCATGCCGTCTGACAGGTCATGCCCTCTGACAGGCCATGCCCTCTGACAGGCCATGCCCTCTGACAGGCCATGCCGTCTGACAGGTCATGCTGTCTGACAGGTCATGCCCTCTGACAGGTCATGCCCTCTTACAGGCCATGCCGTCTGACAGGTCATGCCGTCTGACAGGCCATCCCCTCTGACAGGTCATGCCCTCTGACAGGCCATGCCGTCTGACAGGTCATGCCCTCTGGCAGACCATGCCGTCTGACAGGTCATGCCCTCTGACAGGCCATGCCGTCTGACAGGTCATGCCGTCTGACAGGTCATGCTGTCTGACAGATCATGCCCTCTGACAGGTCATCCCCTCTGACAGGCCATGCCGTCTGACAGGCCATGCCGTCTGACAGGTCATGCTGTCTGACAGGTCATGCCCTTTGGCAGGCCATGTCGTCTGACAGGTCAAGCCCTCTGACAGGCCATGCCCTCTGACAGGCCATGCCCTCTGACAGGCCATGCCCTCTTACAGGCCATGCCCTCTGACAGGCCATGCCCTCTGAGAGTCTCGTCCCCACCTGCCCCCCCCCGCCCCAACCCCCCTCATGTGGACAGACGTCCGCACCGACGTGCGATAGTTCCCAGGGCAGAAAATTGGTTTTCTTAAAAACGTTTACATATTCCTCATGAAATATAAATCCCAAATGGTATTTAACTTACAATTGCCCGAAAATAAATAACTATATCATGGGCGACGTTTCGGCCAACAGCCCTTCGAGGCAGAGAGACGGGCCGGAGACACGGAGTGATAGTTGGAGACTGCACTATACACACACAGACACACACACACAGACACACACAGACACACACACAGCCACACAGACACAGACATACACAGACACACAGACACACACACAGACACACACAGACACACACACAGACACACACACATAGAGACACATACACAGACATACACAGACACACACAGACACACACAGACACACACAGTCACACACAGACACACAGACACACACACAGACACACACACACTGACACACACACATAGAGACACACAGACATATACAGACACACACACAGACACACACACACAGACACACACAGAGACACACACACAGACACACACACACACTGACACACACACTAACACACACACAGACACACACACAGACACACAACAACAACCGCCATTCGCCACTAAGTGGCGGTGACGTCACCACAACGCTTGTGCCAGGCTATGTGCACCTTGAGGCCACGTGAAGTGTCGAACGCCCGCTGGCAGGAGGTCACGGGGCAGACCCAGGTGCCACGGGTCGACTGACTGAGATGACTGGCTGATGCACCACCTGTGCCCCCTACTGTGCCAACCTGCTGTGCTTTAGCCACCCGGCGCTCCGCTCGTTGTTCTGAGCGTCGCTCCTCCGCCCTCCGTTGTTGTTGGAGGGCGACTACCTCCAACTGCCCAGTAGCATCCTTCACGAGCCTCCTCCACAGAGGCCGATCTTGACACCGCTGGTACCAGTCATCGGCAAGTCCACTCAGCTCCACGTCCTCCTGTACCACATCACTCCATCTCTTCTCTAGCCCGTGCCGCGCCCGCTTAGCCCCCTCAATCCGGCCGAACAAAAGCTGTTTCGGCATGCGGTGGCTGGGCATGCGGGCTACATGACCCAGCCATCGCAGCCTTGCCCGCCGGAGGAGCTCACCGATGGGACCTTGCTCAGATCTTTCAAGGATTTGTGAGCTCACACAATCCAGTCTGGTTAAACCCAGGATGGATCGTAGGCAGGTCAGCCTAAATGTTTCTAACCGGCGAAGATGTTCCATTAGGGGGGGTCCACGTTTCGCAAGCGTAGAGAAGGGAGGGAATGACCGTGGCCGAGAAGACCTGAAGCTTAGTGCGGAGCGACAGACCAGGTAGCTTCCACACAGCGTTACGCAACTGATGAAAAGATATTGCCGCTCGACTGATTCGGAGTGGGACCTCTGCTGTTAAACTGGAGCCAGTCATAAGCACACTGCCCAGGTATGGGAAACTCTCCACTCTCTCCACAACTGCCCCATCACCGATTGGGAGTTGTGGGGGTGGAGTGTCCGATGGTACAAAATACCCAGGCAGGTGCTTAGTTTTGGTGGGGCTGATGGTAAGGCCCCACCTCTTAGTGGCACGCTCCAGTCTCAGCAGCAGCGTCTCCAACTCCTCCTCTGACTGAGCAGCTATTACCAAATCATCAGCATACATAACGTGGTTGAGCAATAGGGAGCCATCCCTTGACCGCACCCGGGCATCGATCAGCCTCCCATTATATCTGTACCATATGGAGATTCCCCCGGTACAGCTATTGAAGGCTTCACGAACTACGTGGTCAAAATAGATGCTAAATAATGTGGGAGCCAGAGGACATCCCTGTCGCACCCCAAGGTGTACAGGGAATGGCTCTGACTCCCGGCCACGTAGTTTTACCCGGGCCCGCTCACCATCATGAAGGTCCTTAATGATCGTGAGCAGAGGGTCAGGTACTCCAAAAGCACGAAGAACGACCCAGAGCCCAGGCCTACTGATGGTATCATAGGCCTTGACCAGGTCAATAAAGCAGAGATGTAGGTCTTGTTGGAATTCCCTACACCTCTGCTGTAGCAGACGGACAGAAAATATGGCATCTGTGCAGGACCGCCCTTTCCTGAAACCGCATTGGGGCTCCGCAAGCCTCTCCTCAGCGTGCCTGGCAAGGCGATGCTGAATAATCCTTGCCAGGACCTTTCCCGGCACACTGAGGAGTGAGATGCCCCTGTAGTTGTTACAGTCTGTGCGGTCCCCCTTCTTAAAAAAGGGGCACCACCAGACACACACACACACACTGACACACACACTGACACACACTAACACACACACAGACACACACACAGACACACACACAGACAGACACACACACAGACACACACAGACACACACACAGCCACGGGGGTGGCCTGATAGCCATGCTGGCGAGCAGTGAGAGAGGGCACAATGTGGAGTCAGCTACCGATGGAGGCGCCGGGGTTGTTGCTGCTGATGCTGCTTGCGCGCCACTGCCGACAGCAGCAACTTTATTTTTGTGTTTGATGGCGAAGTTTGCGGCAATTGCCCCCCCCCCCTCCCTGCTCTTGCCCTGGGCGCGCCTCTCTGCATAATGCAACATACCCGTGCACGGGTGGTACGTTGTATGAATGCGCGTATCTACTCGCTCTGTAACTGTGTGTGCAGAATTCACATAGCTGAGCGTGCGTGAGTGTCCGTGCGGTGGTGATGATGGCTCAGAGGGCAGTGCCGTGCTCTCTGGGCTCCCCGGTGTTGCTCTGTGCACACTGCACGCGTTCCCTCCGCTCACGTCTACACAGTGCGGCTGACGATGTACATTGATGAAGACGACGCTGGCAAGATGTGTCTGCGCGTGTCTGCGTGTGTAATGGTGTAATGTGTGAGTGCATGTCTACGTGTTTGAGTGTGTGCGTGTGTGCATGAGATCGTGTTTAAGCGTATGCGTGTGTCTGCGTATGTGTGTGTATGAATGCTAGATTGTGTGGAGAGCGGTGGTGTAGCGGTTAGCCCACTGCGCTAGGAACCCGACGACTCGAGCTGTAACCCCGCTCACGGCTGCCAACACCGGTGACAATTATTTGAACCGGTCCTGGGCCTCCCCTAGGTCAACTAAACCTCAAAATGAGTACCTGGCGCGATGGGTAAACAAAGGCGTCCGGGCGTGGTGCTGGCCACCCACCCCCTTGTGTACCGTTCCGGCCTTCATCGGTGCTCGCTAACAGCACTTGCCCCAGCAGTATGTTAAGGCTATACGGGGGATCTTTGTATGTATCTGTGAGTATGTATCTGCGTATGTGTCTCTGTGCAGGTGTGTTTCTGTGCGTATGTGCCTCTGTGTGTATGCGTCTCTGTGTATGCGTCTCTGTGTGTATGTGCCTCTGTATGTATATCTGTGTGTGTGCGTCTCTGTGTATGCGCCTCTGTGTGTACAAGTCTCTGTGTGTACAAGTCTCTGTGTGTGCGTGCCTCTGCGTGTACAAGTCTCTGTTTGTGCGCGTCTGTGTGTACAAGTCTCTGTGTGTACAAGTCTCTGTGTGTACAAGTCTCTGTGTGTGCGTGCCTCTGTGTGTACAAGTCTCTGTGTGTACAAGTCTCTGTGTGTACAAGTCTCTGTGTGTGCGTGCCTCTGTGTACAAGTCTTTGTGTGTACAAGTCTCTGTGTGTGTGCGCGTCTGTGTGCACACGTCTCTGTGTGTACAAGTCTCTGTGTGTGCGTGCCTCTGTGTGTACAAGTCTCTGTGTGTACAAGTCTCTGTGTGTACAAGTCTCTGTGTGTGCGCGTCTGTGTGTACAAGTCTCTGTGTGTACAAGTCTCTGTGTGTACAAGTCTATGTGTGTGCGTGCCTCTGTGTACAAGTCTTTGTGTGTACAAGTCTCTGTGTGTGTGCGCGTCTGTGTGTCCAAGTCTCTGTGTGTACAAGTCTCTGTGTGTACAAGTCTCTGTGTGTACAAGTCTCTGTGTGTACAAGTCTCTGTGTATACAAGTCTCTGTGTGTGGGCGCCTCTGTGTGTGCGCGTCTCTGTGTACAAGTCTCTGTGTGTACAAGTCTCTGTGTGTACATGTCTCTCTGTGTACAAGTCTCTGTGTACAAGTCTCTGTGTGTACAAGTCTCTGTGTGTGCGTGCCTCTGTGTGTACAAGTCTCTGTGTGTACAAGTCTCTGTGTGTGCGCGTCTGTGTGTACAAGTCTCTGTGTGTACAAGTCTCTGTGTGTACAAGTCTGTGTGTGTGTGTGCGTCTGTATCTGTGCGGACCGTGCCAACCCGCACGCCCATTGGCTAATTGCTAATTGCTCATCCGAGCGGCTGCGTCCACCAGCGCGATGCTGTCCGCTGCCCGCGTCATTCAAACAAGGCTGCCGCGATATATGACAACGCGACGATATATCATCTTACGATATAAGATCAGCGATAATCGTATTGTCCTTTCCGCAAAAATAATATTAATGATATCGCAAACCTCGGTAACTTAAAAGTTTGTATAATAATTAGTTACCTGTCCATTATTATAATTAGCGCTTTGCAATATGTTTAAGTGACGGCGTGGCGATTATAAGACGTAATTTATATCTGTATATGTCGTGGCTCAA